CAAGCGATTCCGTCCACACTTCACCTCGGTGCCGGCCCCTGTTCAGGTGATGGGGCCGGGTAGTCGCATCTCCCTCAGTTGCACCGCTGTTGGGGCCCCCGTACCCACGGTGACCTGGTACCGGGGCCACGAGCAGCTCTTCGCCTACATGCTGGACAGACAACCACCCGGAACTGCCCGTCTGGCTCTGTTTAATGTGACCGAATCGGTCAATGTCACCTGTATCGCCTCCTCACCCATGGGTCAAATTAAACACGATGTGGCCATCGTTGTCAAGGGTGAGTTTCACAGCACATGCAATTCACACACACCCACTCTGTGAACCATCGCACAAAACTGATTGGTCGCATCTCAGTTGAGTTTCTATTGGCTGCCGTGGCATGCCAAGCCATGCAGGCCCAACCCCTCTGAAACTGTGCGCTCAGTGGTATTTTGACCTGACAGACTAGGTGACCCTCGACAATACCTGCAGTGAAAGCGAGTGGAGGCGGCATTTGCTGTAAATTTGTAAAGCCTTAGCTGTACGGTCACAACAGGCGCTACTGTGTGGAAGCAGAAGTATAAAATGGTAAAGGGGCGCCCACCAATCACAGCACAGGACAGGGCACATCCGAGGCCCGACCCCGCGACCGTTTGATTAGAAGTTCAACGTTCAAATTACTGAGCCACGGTCTCGTCGTGTTACCAGCTTCGATCGGAAAGACTCAGTCACGTAACTGATCAGTGAGGCTTTATCTCCCAATGTCAATATTCTCGATCTAAACCAGCAAGACAACGATACCATGGCTCAATGATTAGGACGTTGTACTCCTAATTAACAGGTTGCGAGTTCGATTCTCGGCCGTTGCATCACCTTGGGTGGGGTATGGCTAGCTGATGAAGATCAAAGAGCCAGAAATGGCCATGCCAGTCTCCCTTGTCTTTGTTGGAGCAATCTTCATCTGCCTATGATACTAGTTGATCTTCACCCTGTTGACAGGACACTGTAGTGAGCCCCGAGGCCGAAGGGGATGAGTCAGTCGTGAAACCGCTTGACGAGCGTTTATCCACCAAGATCGTTATCCGTTGGTCAATTGATTGGGGCTTCGGATTTCGGGGGCATGTCCGATATGTAGGGTAGCACTGGCTATGGGTACAACAAAAAGGGGAA